AAACAAAAAATATTTATAGACCTTTTAGATATTTTTTAATAAAAGGATACTTTGGAATTTTCTAGGTCCCCCTCGAGTGTGAGGTCTACCCCCCCCCCCCCCCTAAATATATATATACACACCCACATATATATATATATATATATTTTGTTAAATGCAGCGCGCATCGAGAGGCGACAGGCAGCCAGTGCGACGGAGGGGAGCACCTGTGGAAAGGGGGGGCCCCCGCTACGAAGCTGCCCCCCCGCTTTGTTTTAAATGTGAAAAACTGGGAACAATTTTAGAAAAGAAAAGAAAAAAAACAAAAAATATTTATAGACCTCTTTTAGATATTTTAATAAAAGGATACTTTGGAATTTATTAACAGCTTAAGCTGCTTTGATATTAAAGATAGCTATAAAATCAAGATGATGTAGCAGTCGTGTCATTAAATGTACACTGAAGTCTTGTAGTTTGCCACTGGATGAGATTAAAAAAAAAAAACAAACAAAAAAACCCCACAGAAAAGACTTATTGAGCAAAGCCATTAAGAAGCACTATGAGACTGACCAAATTTAATAAACTTTTGACGAGCGGTTTCCACCTCTGTCTGTAAGACACTGCATCGCTTCTGCCCCAGCCAGAGACTGCATCATAGTCCCTGAAGACTCTAAAGCGAAAACCTTGATGCCATCGAGTATGTATTTAGTTCTGGTGGTTTATGTTTTTTGAAACCTTTGTAACACAGAATGTCCCGTGCAGTTGTATATGTTGTAGAAATGTCTGCAATAGCCTTCTGAACAAGATGTAGCATGGTCCGAACGCCGTTCCTCACGCTTCCTCCAGCCGGCAACCGGTGGCAGCCCCGATATGGCACGGTGCAGCTCCTGCCAGCTCCCAAAGGAAGCGAAAAAATAATGCAAAAGCGAAGAAAGCAACCTGTGCTTGCGAAATTTGGGAGTGAGATGGGAAGAGGCACCCGGGTGTGATGCTCGGGGATGGCTCCGGCTCGCTGGGGATGGACATGCATGGGATCCCAGTTCCCTGTGCTCTGCCATCGTCCATCTGGGAAAGAAAAAGAGACGGAGGCTCTGAGCTTTGCCCCTGGGGCACCAGTGCTTGGGGACGAGCACCCAAAAATCATGAGCCACCCGTTCATGGGGAGCCGAACCCTGCTCGGGGCTGCTCCCAGCATCACAGCCAGCTCTTGCGGCTGAAGCACTTTTTTTTAGGGAGAGTGCCCGGGCAGGAGGAGCATCCCCTTGCCACGGCCATGTCCCCAGGCGGTGGCTGCTGGTGAAGCCAGGGTGAGCCCCAGGGTGTTGCGCCAAGCTCCTGCCTGAATTGGGCAAGCTCAGACCTGAATTGGGCAAAGCACCATGGAGCATTGGCTTTCCAGGGCTGACCCCGTGCAAAGGCACAGGAGCTCAGCAGTGGCACCATCCCGGCGTGCTCCCCACCACTTCCCCGACCCTACCACTGCCAGCCTGCCTCTGCTAACAAAATGCCTTTAAATGACGCGGGGTGGCCTGTGCTGGGCTGCCCTGCCCTGTCCCCTGCCCGCATGCCGTCAGCCATCACCCACCAAGGCCACCACTGTTGGGAGGGCTCCCCTGCCAGGCTCTGAGGCTATGCATTGACTGATTTTCCACTGTATACATTTTTATCAGAATAGAAGGTATTTTTATATTTGGGTGGTAGTCAATGAGCGATGCTAAAAGTGGCTCTGCAAAGGCACGGCTCTCCTTGCCCGCCTACCCTGCCCCAGCGAGCCCCAGCTTGCCCACAGCCGCTCTTTTCCCTGCCACCGCGCTGCAGAAGGTCAAGGCGCGACCATTGACTGCTCTTCTCCGTCGTGTGCTAGCGGGAGCTTTAGTGGAATGGGATTCGAGGAAGCACTTAGGGTAGTCTTGAACACAGCAATCCTGTTGTATTAAAGCTAGCGGGACATACCGGTCATGTTTTTGTTAGGCTCATGTACTGTACTTCAAAAGTTTCTATGAGATCGATGAACTTTGTTTAACAATTTTGGAAGGAACAAGTTCTGTAAAGAGCCACTAAATACAGAAGTTGGATACGACTCTGGCCTTGGGGTGTGTTTTGTCCGGAGGCAGCCGGATGGGAGCTCCTCTCGCCTTCGCCCGGCACCTGGGTTGATGTTGGTTCCCTTGGAAGTCACAGTCTTGCTTTGGGTTTATGGCAAGACCCCTCACTGCCAGGATTGGGGGAAAAATGATTTTTTTGGGGGAAAAAAGGAGGTGATTTGGGGAAAAAAGGGGGTGTTAAATGGCGTTAGTCCAGCCCAGGGTGCAATCCTGCCCCGTTAAAGTCCTGTGCTCATCCCTGATGCAGGTTTGCTCCTGCCCCCGGGGTAACTCGGCATCCTCTGGTATGAGGTTTGGCTCAGCATTGCCCGATGGCGCCGCACCCCGGCATGGCTCTTCAGAGCCAGCCGTCGTCGGGCAAGTTTGCAGCTTCCAACACAAGGCAGGGGTGTTTGCATTTGATGAATTAATAAATCCGTATGTTGTGTATCTGTTTAAGCTTGTTTGTCGGCTAACATGTTGGGAAGGATTTATTTTTAATGAATATCTGAACGTCTGGAGAAGCTGGGCCGGCTGCCATGGAAACCAGAATCTTCCTCTGCAGCCGACTGATGGGGCCACGTTAACCATCTGGATGCTGCGGGTGTAGCTGCACCCCGGTTGCCCTTGGCGGCACCGCTCCAAATGCCGAAAAACGTAGTGGGGTGCCGTGCCTGGCCAGGAGCAGGGCTCCTCACTCTGCAGTGCTCTTGGCGAGCGACTGACCCTGGCTGGCTTCGTGCCTCAGTTTCCCCAAGAGGCGTCCCCCCAGCCCGCTGCAAGACCCCATGTTAGCAAGAAGATGGAGAGTTTCATGCAGGTGGGATGTTGTGGGCAGGGACACGGGGTCGCATTGGCCACTTCCACAAGGGCAGGATCCCTGCATAGCACCAACACCAGCCCCAGCAAGGGGACAGATATTTTGTCCCTGGCTAAGACCCCTTGGCAGAGGGCTGGGTATGTCCCACCAAGGGCGCAGGGCCACCCGACCAGGGGCACCCAAACCTGGGTGGCATCACGCAGTGCTGCCTGTAACCCAGGGTTTGGAAGGATGGTTGTAACACCCCATTGAGCCTGTAATGCACCGGCAACTCACGCCAGGGCACCCAGTGCCATTTCCACCGGTGAAACTGTGGGAGGGTTGTGCTCCTAATCAGTCTCCCAGCTCTTTTCCAATGCCCAAACCATCATGTTGGTCATCTGTGCCTGACTGTTCAAGCCGTCACGGAGGGCAGAACTGTGCTGTCCCTGCCATGGGACCACTGGCGCTGTGTGTCCTGATGTTCCCAGGGTGGCACCGTCTCATCTCATCGTGTCCCATCCATCCCATCCATCCCCTCCCCTCCCCTCCCCTCCCCTCCCATCCCTGTGGGC